ACCATTAAAGAAATTATTACTTGAATTTCTATATTAACAGTGCTCATGTGGAAACCAAAATTAAAAGTACAATATCATTTACAATTGATCCAAAAACAGTGAAACCTTTAGGTATAAATCTAATAAAACATGAACAGGATTTATATGCTGAAAATTGCAAAATGCTGATGAAAGAAATCAGTGAAGACCTAAATAAAGGAATAGATACACCATGTTCATGGATTAGAAGATTCAACATAGGAAAGATGTCAATATTCTCCCCAAAAGGATCTACTGACTTAAAGCAATTACTATCAAAGTCACATCAAGGGTGTTTGTTTTTTTTCTTTTTTGATAGATATAAAAAACCCGTTCTACTCCTGGCAGAGAAAGATTCCACACGCCTCAGGGCAACTAAGCCTGTCCACCACAACTACTGAGGCCTGCATGCATAAGAGCCCATGCTCTGAACAGGAGAAGCCACCACAAATGAGAAGTTAACACACCACAACAAAGAGTAGCCCCCTCTTGCCACAACTAGAGAAAGCCCCCATGCAGCAATGAAGACCTAGCACAGCCAAAAATACATAAATAAGAATAACAAAGTGAAAGGAATCACGTTACTTGATATTAAAGCTTATTACATGGCTACACAGATCAACAGGCTTCCCTGGTGACTCGGTAAAGAATCCACCTGCAGTGAGAGAGACCTGGCTTTGATCCCTGGGTCAGGAAGATCCCCTGGAGGAGGGCATGGCAACCCACTCCAGTATTCTTGCCTGGAGAATCCCCATGGACAGAGGAGCCTGGCGGGGTATAGTCCATGGGGTCACAAAACAAAGAGTCGTACATGACTGAGTGACTAAGCTCAACAGCACAGAAATCAATATAGTGTGCTACTGGTCAAGTGATAGCTACACAGATCAGTCGAACTGAATAGAGAACACAAAAACAGACCCACACATATATGCCAACCAACCTTTCATAAATGTGCAAAAGTAATTCAATGAAGGAATGATAGCTTTTTCAACAAATGGTGCTAGAACAACTTGGGACCATAGACAAGAGATACCTCAACTGAAACGTCACACTTTATAGAAATGGTAACTCAAAATGAATCACATAATTAAAAATTTAAATGTAAAACTATAAAATGTATTTAAAAGTGGGAGAAAAAAGTCTTCTGAAAATTAGGGCCAGGCAAAACTTCTTAGACTTGATAACAACAGCAAGATCCACAAAATGAAAGAATGATAAATTTTATCTCTCAAAATGAGAAACTTTTGCTTGTAAAAGCTCATGTGAAGAGAATGAAAAACACCAATAAATTGGACAGCCTAGAAGAAATGGATAAATTCCTAGAGACATACAACCTACCAAGCCTGAATCAAGAAGAAATAGAAAGCCTGACCAGATCTATAATAAATAAGAGATTGAATCAGTAATCAAAAACCTCCCAACAAAGAATGTGTGCGTGTGTGTGTGTGCGTGCTCAGTCGTCTCCGACTCTTTGTGACCCCATGGCCTGTAGGCCACTAGTCTCCTTATTTATGGGATTTTTCCAGGCAAGAATGCTTGAGTGGGTTGCCATTTCCTCCTGCAGGGGATTCTCCTGACCCAGGGAAGTCTTCTTCGTCTCCTAAATTGGCAGGTAGATTCTTTACCACTGAGCCATCTGGGAAGCCCCCCAATAAAGAATAATCCAGACCAGATTTCACAGGTCAATTCTATGAAACTTTTAAAGCAGAATTAAATACCAATCTTTTTAAAATTCCTCCCCGAAAATAGTAAAGGAGGGAAACTCACTTTATGAGGGCAGCGTCACACTGATACCAAAGCAATTTTGAGCAATTCAGAGGTGTCATACTTCCTTATTTCAAAATATATCACAAAGCTACAGTAACAAAAAATAGTATTGGTACTTGTATTAAAGCAGATATATAGAGCAATGGAACAGATTAAAGAGACCAGAAATAAGCACACATGTAAATGGTCACCTGATTTTTGACAAAGGTGGGAAGAATACACAACGGGGGAAGAATAGTCTCTTTAATAAATGGTGTAGGGAAAACTGGATATCCACACACAAAGAATGAAATTGGATCCTTACACCATACACAAAATTTAAATCAAAAAGTTAAACAGAAGACCTGAAGCCGTAAAACTCCTGAAAGAAAACACAGGGGAAAAATTTCTTGGCAATGACTTCTTGGAAATAACACCAAAAGCCTAGGTAATAAAAGCAAAAATAAACAAGTGGGAGGACATCAGACTAAAGGGCATCTGTACCATAAACAATCTACAAAATGAAAAAACAACCTACAGAATGGGAGAAAATCCTTGCAAAACATGTATCTGATAAAGGGTGAGTATCTAAATCATATATGAAATTCCTACAACTCAATAGTAAAAAACAAACAAACAAAAACCCAAATAAACCTATTTTTAGAATGAGCAAAGGAAGTGAACAGATGTTCTGAAAATAAGACATGAAAATAAGAATCAGGTAAATGAAAAGATGCTCAATGTCATTAATCATCAGGAAAATGAAAATCAAAGCTACAATGAGCTATCACCTCACACCTTTAAGGATGGCTGTTACAAAAAAAAAAAAAAAGATAAGCATTAACCAGGATATGGATAAAAGGGAAAACTTGTACACTGTTATTGGGAATGTAAATTGGTACACTTACTGTTGAAAATAGCATGGTGGTTCCTACAAAAATAAAAAAAAAAAGTAGAACTACCTTCTAATTCAACAATCCCACTTTCGTATATATCTTTAGGAACTGAAATATTCTGCAATCTTATGTTCACTGCAGCATTTTTCATATAGCCACATAGCCAACACATGGAAACAAGCCAAGTGTTCACTGATGGATGAATGCATAGAGAAGTTATAGTACATACTTACAATGGAATATTATTCAGCCTTAAAAAAGAAGGAAATCCTGGCACTTGTGACAACATGGATGACCCTAAAGGATATTATCCTTAGTAAAAGCCAGACAGAAGGACAAGTACTACATGACTACTCAACTTATACGCAGAATCTAAACTAGTCAAACTCACAGAAGTAGAAGGTGTAATGGTGGTTACTAGGGCCTGGGAGGAAGGGAAATGGAGGGTTATTAGTCAATGAATGTAAAGTTTTCGTTTTGCAAGATGAATAAGCCCCAGAGCTCTACTGTATAGCATGGTGCCGATAATTAATAGCATGCCTGAGTTATACGTTTAAAAATTTGCTAAGAGGGTAGATCTTATGTTGTGTTCTTACAACAAACTAATCATAATAAAGAAGGTGGGAAGAAACCTTTAGATGTGATGGAGGTGTTTATGGCACAGACTGTGGTTGAGAGTTTCACAGGTATATACTTATCTCCAAAATCATCAAGTGATATACATTAAATATGTACAGTTTTTTATATGTCAATCATACCTCAATAACATGCTTTAAAAAAAAAACCTCTGAAATATTAACAGGAAAAAAAAACCCACCTCTAATTAGAAAATGGGCAGGGACTTCCCTGGTGGTCCAGTTAAGATTTTGCCTTCCAATGCAGGGGGTGTGGGTTCAATTCCGGTTGAGGAACTAAGATCCCACATGCCTCACAACTGAAAAACCAAAACATAAAACAGAAGCAATACTATAAGAAATTCAATAAAGACTTAAAAAAAAAGAAAGAAAATGGGCAAAAAGTGTGAACAAACATCACCAAAAAAAGGGTATGGAGATGACAAATCAGCCTATGAAAAATAATAAGTATCATTAGCCATCAAAGAAATGCAAGTTAAAACCACAATTAAATATTACTACATTTATCACAATCACTAAAGTAAAAAACAGTGACAACACCAAATGCTGTGGAAGATGAGGAGAAGCTGAATCATTCATATACTGCTGTTGGCACAAGCACTCTGGAAAAAGAGTATGGCAGTTTCTTACAAAACTAAAAATGTGCTGATCATATGACCCCGAAATTTGTCCTCTGGGGCATTTATCCCAGAGAAATGAAGCTACTGTCACACAAAATCCTGGAGGCAAATGTTCACAGAAGTTTCATTTCTAATAGTGCACATCTAGAAACAACCCAGATGCCCTTCAATATGTGAATGATTAAACAAACTGTTTACCATTATGGTAGCTCCATGGCATGGATAAAAAGAAGGACCCACAATAAAAAGAAGGACCCGAAATAAAAAGATGGACCTATTGATACAGTGACTTGAATGAATTTTAAGGGAATTATGCTGAGTGGATAAAACTGGTCCAAAAAGATACTAGTATATAATACCATTATACATGACATTCCTGAAATGACAAAGTTGAAGAAAAATGATTAGTGGTGATCAGCCCGCCTCTCCCCTAGGTGTGATTTCAGAAAGGCAACAAGAAGGATCCTGTGTGTTGAAATAGTTCCCTACCTTGACTGTGGTGGTGGATATGGACCCACACATATGATAAAACTGAATAAAACTAAATACATACACACATGAATACAAGTAAAACCAAAGAAATCCAAGTATGATCAGTGGATCTGCTCAATGCCAACATCCTGGTTATGACACTGTACCATAGTTCTGGGAATTGCTACCACTGTGGAGAACTGGGTAAAGGGTGCACAAGATCTCTCTATATTGTTTCTGAAACTGCATATGAATCTACAATCAGCTCAAAATACTTTAATATTATTTTAAAAGTGCAAATGTTCCTGGGCTATTTTTTATTGGATTATAGTTGCCTGACACTGTTGTGCGTTTTTGGTTTTGTTTTGTTTTTTTAATAAAGGACAATCCTCTTAAAAATGCCATGACTAGGGGCAGAAAGCTGTTTCATGATTTTTAAGAAACCACCTAGGTCCTGAGTGCCACTCCCTCACCTCGCTGTCAGCGACGTGATGTGCGCTGCACAGTGCTGGAATTAGGAGCTGGAGAGCGATCCCCGGCCGTGGCCTGCGGTGCTCAGGTGTGTGTGTGTGTCTCTATAGGTGGGCACTGGTGTGGTGGTGAAAAAGAGACAGCTAAGGGAGAGCTACGCCTCCCATACTGTCGGGGAGGGTGGCCGGCTGATGAAGGTGCTGTGCTGAAAGCCAGGGAAGGGTTTCTGGAAGGTGCTGGCGCCTCAGGAAGGCCCTCCTGCTGCTCTCTCCAGGAGGCCGTGGGCGGTGGCTGAACAGCCCGGGTGCAATCACTGAATCCCAGTTCACAGGGAAAGGTGAGTGCGGGACGCGCGCGGGAGGTGCGGCCTCTGGGCAGCGGCCCGCAGGCGTGCTCCGCAGCTCAGCTGGCAGACGCGGCGCCGGGTCTTGGATGCTGCAGCAAAGGCGCCAAGGAGACTCCGAACGCTGCGAGCGAAGCGTGGTGGCCGGGGAGGGTGGGGCCGCCCAGAAATCCTGGCGGCGCCAGCCGGGTAGCTTCTGCAGGCCCGGGGCGCGCACACGCGGGGCACGTGGGTGTGGGGGAACCGGCGCCGCTGGGCCTCCTTCCTGCAGCGCCGCGGCGGCCGGGTGCCGGCGCTGGAGGAACCTAGAGTGGGGTGCCCGCCCCGCGCAGGCGGCCCTCTCAGCCCCAGCCCAGCTGGCAGGCGAGGGGCGGGGACCGCACCAGGGCCCGGCGCCTGGAGGCGCTCTCCGCGCGAATCTCTTACCCAGTGCGGGGACGGGGGTGGGGTGGGGGGACCTCCTTCCCGCGCCGGTGCGGGAAGCCTGGCGGCTTTGTCCGGGGATGTCTGGGGGCGCGGGAGGGAGACGAAGGGACTTCCCTACCTGCCAGACTCTGGCATGGAGGAAAGACTGGGATGGACAGAGCCTGGTCGGAGCACCAAGGGGCTTCGCAAGCTGCACCCTCAGCCCAGTCGGGAGACCGGCGTGAGGGGACCGGCGCAGGCCGGTGGGCTCCACGTGGGTGGCCCCCGAGCTGGGCGCAGTGGTGGGGTCGCGGGTCGCCGTCGCGTACGATCCCCTACGCCAGCGCACGAACGCGGGCATATAGCCCCTGCCACCCGCCAGTGGAGGGGCTGGCGCCGGGAGCGCGCGGGGAAGGGCAGGCGGCCGTGTTGGGTGGGTGGCGGTGGGGGGCGGAGAGAGGGGGGCGGTTCGCGACTGAGGTGTGGCCGCGGGGGAGGGGGCGGGAGGCGCCGCAAGGCTTTGGCCCTGCTGCCGCAGCAGCCCCGCAGTCCCCGCCCGGCTCTGAGGAGGCTGCGGCGCGCGGCGAGGTGCCTGCCGGCCGCACTGCGGTCCCAGTCGGCGTTAACCTGCCCGCGGATTAAAAGCAAAAGGCAAAAAGAGTCCATTAAAGGGGCGTGGGCGGGCAAAGACTTTTGCCGGTTCCAGCCGGCGCTAAGAGGTTGGCCGTGGGGACGTGGGAGTTGCGAGGTACCGCCAGGTGTCATAATGAGGGGAGGTGCCTCCACCTGGGTTAAGCTGCCCTGTACGCGACCTGAGCCGGGAAGAGCTTGAAGTCGGGCATTACCCATCGTAGTCCTAAACCTAGCGTTAACCCTTTCCCACCCCCACTCTACACACCTTCAAATTCTTATTACTCTTTTGAGCGCTCAGTATTACCAGCCTCATTTTATGTGAAAAACCAGGACAAATTCTTCCCTCTATTAACCTCTCCGTGCCGAAGACCCCAGAGGCAGCTCTCCATTGCCCTAAGACGTGGTCACTCCAAACCCACAGTGAGCGGCTCCTGGGCTCGGCTTTTGCTCCACAAACTCGCTCGAGTGCCACCGGAGGATGCTGAAGGCAATGCCTTGGCGGCCGCCCGGCGCCGGTGAGACTACCGCGCCATTCAGTGTGGACGGGCCTTGCGTCCGCCTCCCCAAGCGAGTGAGTCGGCCCTGCACGGACACTTGGTCACTCCCTTTCTCTTTCACTCCCTCTTGGGTAGCGCGCGTTTTCTCTACAGAGCGTGACCTGGTAGACAATAAACTCGGATTCCCTGAGAACCCGCTCGCTCTTGTCCCGTGGGCCTCCCGACATCTCTGCCCTTCACCGCGGCGGGCGCTGTGTGGGCACCTGGACCGCCCTGGTACCTCGGTTCCCAGCTCTCTCCTCCCCGAGAGGCGGGAGAAGGGCCTTTCCGAGTTACCTGACTCAGGTCAGCAGCCACATGGAGGCCTTCCCCCTCGCTCTGATTCCCAAGGGCAGAGCGCATCAAAGCCCGAAGCGTCTGTGGCACTCACCTCCGCCCAAGCGGGGCAATCTCCTGATTGTGTGTGTGTGGGTGTGTTTGTGCGCACGCGGTACGCATGTAACCGCACAGAGTAAATTTCAGACGTGAAAGACAAAGCATTTCACGCAAAGATGGCCCAGAGTTCTAGTAAAACAAACGACACCAACACACCCCCACCCCCAAACACCACGTCTCGAGGTATGGAGTCAGGGCTTGCCGCCTGCGGAGGCTTCTAGAACGTCTGCATCCTGGAGAAGGGATTTTAACTCTGCATCTCCGCCAGATCCGCTTGGAAATCACCTCCTCTGACGATGCCGCAACAAGTGGCCCCGCCACCTACCCTGGGTTACAGCGTCTTGGTCCCCCAAGTCCTTATGGAGTAGCTGACTGGGATCGGCAGATGGGGGTGAATGCAAGGAGGAAGCCTTTTATTTTCAATTGTGAAGATTCTGTCTGCGTCCTGTGGGCTGGGATTCTCCCGTCACCATCAACCTCCAACGTTAATGAAGTGGTATCATTAACACTTGGAAATGGAAAGCTTACCCATCTTCCTATTAAAAAGGTGTTGATTTTTAACCAAGCATTTTCCTCTCGACAGACTTACACTTTACTGATGGGATTTCCCCCAGCCTTTTGCGGTTTGGAGAAGCGGGGTGGTGGGGGACGTAATGGTAGCAAGGCATTTATTTTCAAAACAGATACTTCTTCCCTTCTCCCCACCCAATTTACGAGGGTTAGATTCTAGGCTTCCTCAAAGGTGCCCTCTCTAGGTTTGTGCCAGAAGCTTTACGGGTAAAGCCCTTTGTGTGTGTGTGTGAGGGGGGTGTCAACCTGCCCACCACTTTTCCCTGCCCAGCGAAACCCAAGTACCAAGGGGTCAAGGTTCCACACCGTCACATTCCTGTTAGGGCCTCGGGGACGCAAGACGGATTGCCGGGCAGGTCGAAGTGGCGAACAGAGGCGACAGCGTCCAGGGACTAGGAGCCTCGGTCTTTCTCCCGGCAGTTTCCTGGACTCAACTGAGCGCCGCGGCGACCTCGACTAGAAACAGATTCCCCGCCCTAGCCGAGTAGGAAACTCCTTTGGACAAAAGTTTGAGAGAATCCAGCGCAGAGACAGCCTTCTTCCAATCTCGTTATAACAAATAATCTTATAAGTTTACCCACATAACCACGCAAGCGGGGAGCAGGCACCCAGATTCGCCACCCCCACGTGGTGTTGGAGTTGGCGCAGACGCGTCCGCGGTCACAGCGGGGAACGTGACACCGCATTTTCTCTGAATTCCTGCCTTCTAGGGTGGTGCGGCCGGGTGAGAGGGCCTCAGGGAGGTGGGAGAGACGCTGCGGAATCCATTCGCTCTGCAGAGGCATTGGGGCTCTAGCACAGCGCGCAACTCCGGGGGCTTTCCCACGGCCCCATTCCCCGACTTGAGAAAAGCAGTGGTGGTTATGGGTGATTAATAGCCGGGCTTCCCACGACCGTGCGGCGCGTCCTCGCCAGCACCACTAGCTTAGCCGTTTAATCTGACCTTTATTATGAGCCATGCGTTCCCACAGGCTGGAAACTGGATTCGCACCCCAAGACCGTCCTCTAACCGCCCCCACCCCTTGCTTCCTGAGGAGGGTCGGAGACTTGCAGCTCTCCCGTGGTGCCCCTTTCCTCCTCCAGAGGAAGCAGGCCCCAGCTCCTCTGAGACTAACTCGGGGGCCAGCAGACATCCCCCGGGGAGGGGGGTCTCCCGGGCCTCCGAGTTGGACGGTGTCTGCAATGCATCGTCTTGGGTTCTCTCTAGCACATTGTGCCGGTATGCAGAGAGAAGGGGGGGGGGGGGGGGAAAAGAACCACTTTTAAGTGCCACAGGCATCTACGGAGTGGCGATGGTCTATGCAGAGCGCCGGTGCCTGGAGTTGTGGGGGAGGGTACCGCGGTCAAGGGCAGGTTGGGAGGCCGGTGAAGGCCGGCTGGCCGCAGGGGAACCCTTCCTCTCCGGGTTCAGGGTCCGGGAGCAAACCCCGAGCTGCGGCAAAAAGGGCTGGTAGGCTCTCCTGCACCCCGCTTGCTCCCCCGCCTTCCCTGTGTTCCCCGGCTTTTCCAGGAGGAAGATGGGGTGCCCAGCGGGGGTGGGGCGCGCCGGGCCGCGGGGCCGGGCTGTCACGTGCCCCCCTCTCCCCGCACCCCCCGCCACTGCGGCGGGAGTTCCAATCAGAGCGCGCCAGGGGGCTCCTCCCGGGCAGGAACCACCCGGCTCGGCGGCGGAGGGTGGGCCGCCGTCACCTGACCGCCCGCCCCCGCCCCCCGCGAGTAAGGGGCGGTGGTAGCGTCTGCTCGGTTACAAATGGCCCCTCCCGCCCCGCTCGCCCGCTCGCTCGGGCTCGGCGCGGACCCGCCCGGGAGCACTCCTCCCGCCGGCTGCAGGCGTCCCGCCGCCCTGCCCGGAGCCGGCCGGCGGTCCCCGCCAAACCCCGAGGGCGCTCCTGGCACCCAGCGCGGAGGCTCGCCCGCGGAGGTCGCGCCGGGAGACTGGACCGCGGCGGCGCGCGGCTTGCCTTCCCGCAGGTGAGTGTGCCGTGTGGGCGTGGGATGCTGCGGGGAGAGTGCAGGGGCGACGTGCGAGCCCTCGGCTGCGGACGCGGGTCCGTGCAACGCGCAGGTTAAGTTTGCAGAGCGAGTCCGAGGTCTCTCTCCATCTCAGCCTCCTCTTGCGGCTCCCGCGGGTTGGGGGCTCCAGCGAAAGCCTTGATTTGGGGGCCGGGGGGAAGGGCTTCAGGAAATTCTTGCCTTGAGATACTTGACAAAGGTTGAAAAGACATATCAGGTGGAGCTTGTAGCTACAGCTGATGGGGGTTAGACAGGTGCATTCGAGTTTGCCTGCGTTTGCGTGACTCCCGGGCGTGTAGGGTGAGCCCAGGATGGGGTGAAGCCTCTGCGATGGGTCATTCCGTCCCCCAAAGCCACTTAGATGCCCAAGAGGAAAATTGCGCTGCTCTGAGGTGGTCACTGGATGTTACAGCAGCAAACCGGTGACCCCCGTATTTCTGATATGCTCCTGTAGTTAACAGAAGAGCAGGTGGCTTCAATAAAAAGTGTATGAAGCCTTAAGGCACCCAAAAGATATTCCATTTACCTTTTAACTTCTTGGCAGGATTTTGTATTAAAAGTGCTGAATCATGCAAAAAGACATGGAACGGGAAAATAATGAAATAATTGAATGAAAAATAATTTACTTCATTTTTTTGGTAAAGTTTTTCAAAGCTAGTAGTCATTTTTAAAATAAATGCTATAAGTTTAGGGTGTAGGCACCAGGTATTTTAAAATCATGTTTTAAGACTGTGCTCTTGGCGTTCTGGCTGTCGGTTGCTTTTCTGTCTTTAGAGTGAGTTGTATCTATTCATCTCATGCCACTCTACTGCCTCAAAAAAAAAAAAAAAGCCAACCCAAGACATGGTTTTTTTTGTTTTTTTTGGTGTGTCCATGATTGTAAAGGAAGTGGACGAAACCAGTCCTTGGAAATAAAAAACTCCTTCGTTGATAAATGCGATGATGGACAATTTGATTTGTCATATGCCTCTGAAGGGAATGTCAAGCTGATAACATGCAGGCTGGAGAGAAACAGAAACAGGAGTTGCCCATCGAGGAAGAAATGAGCTGTAATCCAATTGTGTTCAGTAAAAGAGCTGAAGGGAAGTGATTCCACCTTGGGAGCCTGAGTCCGCGATGGTGGAGATGGAAGGGTGCCGTTTTTGATGCAAGTTCTGCAGTCAGACACCAAGTAGCATAAAGATGATTAAAAAAAAAAAATCAGAGAATGAGC